CTTATGTTACCCAGGCTGGTGTTGAACTTCTGGCTTCAAGCAATCCTTCTGCCTTGGCCTCCCAAAGTGCTGGGATTACAGACATGAGCCACCATACCTGGCCATTAAAGTTTATTTTTAAAAAATCTAATATCATAGTTGCTCCCTTACTTAAACATCCCGAAGGCTACCCATTTTTTTCTAAAGATCCACAATCCTCCCCATGATCTGCAAAGCAGAGCAGAATTGGGTCCTTGTTCACTTCTCAACCCCATCTCTCCCATTCCTCTCAGTCACAAGGCTCCAGCCTCAGCCCCCTGAGCAGCCTAAGTCTTTCCCATTGCAAGGCCTTGTTCTTATTCTTTGCATAGGCACTTCCTGATCTTCAAGCTTTGGCTTACGCATAATTCCTTAGGGTTTTCCTGGACCACTCAGTCTAGAGTGTGTCACTCTCCCTATTACCACCTTAATGGCTCTTATCCTGCTGGATGGTTCTTGTAATATCCAATTTTAGGTGTCAACTTGGCTGGGTTATAGGATAACCAGACAGCTGGTAAAGCTTATTTCTGGGTGTGTCTGTGTGAGTGTTTCCAGAGGAGGCTGCCATGTGAGTTGGTGGACAGAGCAGGAAAGATCTGCTTTGATGTGGGCAGGAACTACTCAATCAGCTATGGGTCCAGTTAGAATAAAAAACAGAGGAAAGGCAAATTCACTCTCTCTTCTGGAGCTGGGATACCCTTCTCCTCCTGCCTTTGGACGTCAGAACTCCAGACTCTCCAGTATTTGGAGTACACACACTGGCGACACTCCGGGCCTTCAGCCCTGGACTGAGCGTTAGACCATCAGCTTCACCATCCTAAGGCTTTCAGGCTTGGACTGAGCCATGCTATCAGCTTCCCTGGGTCTCCAGCTTGCAGATGGCCTATCATGGGACTTCACAGCCCCCAAAACTATGTTAACCAATATCCCTGACAATCCCTTCTCAAATACCTATCATCTGTATCTGTATCTGTATCTGTATCTGTATATGTCGTGCTGGTTCTGTTTCTCCAGAGAACCCTACTATAGTTCCTCACTGGAATAGACAGTCCATGATGATAAAGACCTTTTCCCTACCAGACCATAAACAGTGTCTAACACAGAGCCTGGGCCACAATAGTGTTTGCTGAATAAAACAGGAAGGGCATCTGTCCTGCTCATCGCTGCATTCCACATACTGGATGCCCAGCAGTGGGGTCAGTGCATGCACAAGACCTGGAGACCCCATCACTTCAGTTAGTCAAGGGGTCTCAGAAGCAATTCCCAGAGATGATGAGTGGCTGGTCCAGGAATCCTGACCCCAAGGCTGGACCACTTTCCCAGAGTTTGAACTCCCTATGATGCTCTGAGAACATGTGACTTCACTGCAGAAAAAACACCAAAGCTTCCTTCAGTTCGTTAGGGAGGGACCCTTGTTCCCCACTCGTCACGTGCCTACTGAGGGGAGGGAATTCCCACTATTCCCCAGCAGAAGTGAGTGGATCAGCTTGGCACCACAGGATTCTAAACACTATCCTGCACATATCCTGCTTCAGCCCATGTGGAGCATCTGAGAACCCTGAGGTGAGTGTCAAAGAACTGACATTGCATAGATCATGTTCTCTTACCACACTTCATTTAATTTAGAAATCAAGACCAGGCAAGGTGGCTCACACCTGTAATCCCAGCACTTTGGGAGGCTGAGGTGGGCGGATCACCTGAGGTCAGGAGTTTTAGACCAGCCTGGACAACATGGTGAAACCTGGTCTCTACTAAAAATATAAAAATTAGCTGGGTGTGGTGGCAGGTGCCTGTAATCCCAGCTACTCGGAAGGCTGAGGCAGGAGAATCACTTGAACCCAGGAGGAGGAAGTTGCAGTGAGCTGAGATCGTGCCACTGCACTCCAGCCTGGGCAACAAGAGCAAAAAAAAAAAAAAAATTAGAAATCAGTAACAAAAACTAGCTGGGAATCCACCACACATTTGGAAATGTTAAGACACACTTCCAAAGAACTCAATGGTCAAATAATCATAACAGAAATGAGAAAATATGTGGAGTTAAACAATGAGAAAAAAACAGTACACCTCAAAACTTGAGGGGTTCATTGGTGATTTCGTGAGCAGCCACCATGCCCCAGGCACTGTACTAAGCACTGGGAATATCCCAGGCACAAAAAATGTTGTGCACTGTTAGGGCTTCATCTAGATTGGGGAGCTGAGCAGCAGCAAATCTGTGTGTGACGCCTAGGAAACCATCAGCTGATTTCCCGAACGTCAAACGTGGATTCATGGAGGAAAAGGGCAGGGAGGGACAGGAGCTGGGGTGGGAGGAGCCATGACACTCACCAAGGCCTCCAGGAAGGGGGCAGGGAGGAGGGAGAGAAGTCATGAGAAAGAATCTGAATATTGAATTTGGCCGTGTACCTGTCACAAGCTGATCTTTCTACATGCACTAATAAACAACTTGACTTATTCAGTTAAATAAAAGAATGAGCCAGGCACAGGGGCTCACACCTGTAATCTCAGCACTTTGGGAGGCTGAGGTGGGTGGATCATCTGAGGTCAGGAGTTCAAGTCCAGCCTGACCAACATGGTGAAGCCCCGTCTCCAGTAAAAATACAAAAATTCGTGGTGTTCACTTGTAGACCCAGATACTCAGGAGGCTGAGGCAGGAGAATCACTTCAATCTGGGAGGTGGAGATTGCGGTGAGCCGAGATCGCACCACTGCACTGCAGCCTGGGTGACAGAGCAAGACCCCGTCTCAAAAAAAAAAAAAAAAAAAGAATGAGGCTAATACAATCTATGCTAATCATGTCTTCGTGGGAGAAGAATGAGCTCCTCATGAAAGCAATTCTGCCTACAAGAGAGCACATCAGTACCAGAAGAGAGTGACGCTTCCTTTCTTGAATTGCTGGTTGTCTGGAGAGGGAAGGGAGCTGCAAAGGGAAGGGCAACAGTGCCAGCTGGTGCCAGGACAGAGGTGAACTCAGGTGCAGGTGAGGGATGCATGGCTTGCCCAGGCAGTGCCCCCTGCTGGAGCTCTGGGGCGTGCGGCCCATGTCTGTTGTGTGATGTTCAGACTCAAGCCTGTCTCTGCAGCAAAACAGATATGGCTTCCAGGAGCCACCTGCTGACCCAGCACTCCATGAACACACCACAGATGCTGAGTTCAGCACCAGGGGCTGGTTTTAGGCCGTTTTGCTTCTGGGAACAAACTGAAGTCTTTGATCTGCATAACCTACATTCTAATGAAAAAAGGAAACACACACCTAAGATAAAGTTTGGGTAGTGGTGAGCTGTGTGCAGACTCAAGGTGAAGAAACAGCTGTGACTGGGGGCCTTACTGTAGTCTGGGTGAACAAAGAAGGTCTCCTGAAAGCAATGTTTAAGCTGACACTCAGAAGCAAGCAGGAAAAATTTGTGGCACAAGTGTGGGAACACAGGGAAGAGCTGGCACAGTGCAGCTCAGCAGGCTCTGGAGTCAGGAGAAAGAGGAGGTGCTGGGCCAGGAAGGCAGAGCCAGAGCATGGGCCTGGGGATACGCTCTGCAGCTCAGATCTGATGCTAAGTGCAACAGAAGCTACTGAAAGTCGGAGGGCAGTAATGTGATTTCCCAATGCTTTTAAAGGATCACTCTGCCTGGGTGTGAGGGTTGAGCAGCAGGGGCAAGAGTGGTTGAAGGGATCTAAGTGAGAAAGGTTTATGGTGGAGATAGGAGGACGGGGAAAAGGAGGCACACTCAGGACCTATTTTGTGGGTAGAGACTCGCTGTGGGTGGAGGTGGAAGGAAAGTCAAGGACGACTCACAGGATTTTTCTTGAAGTGGCCAACGTGTATTGTTCTTTTGAGAGCTTTTACGTCAGGTGCAGTCCTAAGTGCTGTTACACACACACACACACACACACACACACACAGAATCCTAACAAGATTCCAGTAGGGAAAGTACTATTACCTTTCTTTTACAGATCAGAAAACTGAGGCACAGAGCAATTCAGTAATGTCTTAATGTTGCCCAAAACATGCTGGCAAGCAAACCATGCCAGCCAGTGGTGACCCCAATGCCCCTGCTCTTACTCACTAGTCTGCACTGGCTCCAGAGGATCTGGAAGGAGGATGGGCCCTTCACTGAGGTGAAGGCTTGAAGAAGAAGATTTGGAAGAGGGTAGTTCCAAGTCCCTCCAGTGGAGCATCCTCTGCAGAAGTCCATTATTCACACAATAATGCCCATGGAACCAGCAAAGGCCAAGTGTGGGCACAGTCAGTGAGCTCAGACTCCATGAGGGCCTGTACTCTAAGACACCCTCACAGGGTGGAGACCGGAGGAAGACTAGTGCTGGAGAGGGAATGGGGCCAGAGGAGACATCTTACAAAGAAACCTTCCTCTGCTACAAAGTCAAAAGCTGGACAGAGCACAGAAAGCACAAATTGGAGCCTCAAAAGCTGGTTCTCACCACCATAACCAATATTCACAATAACATGAATTCGCTTATTTACTGACCTCCACCCTGTGTCTGTTCAGTAAAAGCACTCACTGGCTTCTAGATATTGATGTATACTCTTCCACTCCAACACAAGAGAATCTCACTACTCCTTGTCTTTAAAAAAATGGATTCCTCTTAAGAAAGGGGTAGGTAAAATTCTCTACAATAAATCTGGGGAAAGGAGAAGACTGATGACCCATTTCTAGTTCCTCCTGGGGACACAAAGTGAAGAGGTTGTGATTGGATTGTCAAGAATTTGGTTTTAAGAACAGAACTCCACCAAATTGCACTTTTCAGGAAGTAAAGTCAATTAATGGCTTCTGCAAGAGTGTACTGTCTGCCTCTCTCTCCTTGGTCCATAGCCAGAAAAGCAACCTTGGTGTGGGGAGCCCCACCTCTGCGGAAACTGCTGCCAGCATGAGGGGATGGCCTGAGAGACTCAGGTGGGTTGAAAGCCAGCACACATGTGGTGCAAACATGCTGTCACTCTGAAAAGAAAGAGGATGACTCTGAAAGCTTACCACTGCTTCTGATGTGGACGGGTATTTCTGCAGCCCCGTTCTGGGGAAACTGTTCCTTGGACTCAGCAGGTGCAGCTTTAACTTGCCAAAGAGGATCTTCAACAAAGCAATACACACATGGTGAGGGAATCTCACATTGAGAGAAACAGAACATTACTATAGCAGAGTTCATGCCACCAGCCAGAGACGACACACCCAAACAGACTTAACGCGCTTAAATTCTCATTTAGTACTTTTCTTTGATTTAAGGGGTTTGAAGTAATAAATCTCAATGTGTTCATTACTTGAGAGAGAACATGAAAAACTTTTATACTTTTCAAATAGTTGACATAAAATTTTTATAAATTCAAAATAAATCTCCCTTTAACTCCTGAATAGAAATACATTTTATGAAAGAAACAGAATTCAGCTTTACCTCTCGAAGCTGATTATTGCTCATTATAAGAAACTGTTCTCCTGCAACAAAATGAGCTTCTTGTTCCAATTCCTTGAGACGAGCCTGAAAACATGATACACACAATTAATCTGATTCATAGCTTTCACAATTTAAAATTATTTAATTTGTTCATCAAACAATTCCCAACAGCAATATGGGCATGGTGCCTTAAGGCTGTCATACAAGCCCTTTGGGAGGCTGAGGCAGGAGGATCACTTGAGGCCAGCAGTTTGAGACCAGCCTGGGCAACATAGCACGACCCCATCTCTAAAAAAAAAAAACATTAGCCAGGCATGGTGGCGCACGCCGTACTAGCTATTTGGGGGGCTGAGGTGGGAGGACTGTATGAGACTGAGAGTTCAAGGTTGCAGTGAGTTATAACTGTGCCATTGCACTCCAGCCTGTGTGACAGTGAGACCCTGTCTCCACACACACATACACACACACGCACACTTCCCAAAGAAGGCTCTTAATAGAGTAATAAATAACCTATCATTTATCAAAATAAGCATAAAAATACATATTTTGGCTGGGAGTGGTGGCTCACACCTGTGATCCCAGCACTTTGGGAGGCCGAGGCAGGTGGGTCTCTTGAGCCTAGGGGTTAGAGACCAGCTTGAGCAACATAGTAAGACCTCATCTTTACAAAAAAATAAAATAACAAATAAAAATATATATTTTGCCTCATGGTGAAATACTTAGGCTCACAGAAGCCTCCTCCCCCAAAGGTAAGAAAACGGAAAGAAGTAAAAATAATGGGAGGGTAAGAATGAATTCTCCAGCAATATTAGGACTAGAAAAGTGATCCAGCATCACACAGAACAAGACAGAAGCAGAAGGTATGGGAAACAGGCTGGTATCCAGAATACATCAAGATGTCCTATACATCAGTAAGAAAAAATATAAAAATGGGCAAAAGACTTGAGCAGATCCTTTACAAAAGAAATTCCTAACAGCTAATGATGCTATGAAAAGCTAATCAACCCCATTAGTGTGAAATGTGACATAAAAAATGAGAGCACGCAGGTCCAGAGCTCTGGAGTAGAGTGAGGAAGCCATTCTAAGGACTACCTGCATGACCTGAAACCCTGAAAAACAAAAACAAAAAAACAGGAACTTGCATTGAACCTCTGAACTGGGCCAAAGTGCAATGACCACAACATCCTGGAACACAGCTGGATTTTGCCAGTGCTGCAACACCTGAAGAGCAACAGCCAATGAGCTCAATGGACTCATGTGCTAAGCCGATCGCCTCCACCAATGACCATTCTGTCGCAACAACTTGTGTATCCACCCTTAGCTTCGTTTTAAAAATCTCTGCTTCCCTTCCTCTCTTCGGAACACAATGTGGCCTTTAGCTAAATGTGCCCCCCAAATTGCAATTCCTAAGACCCAATAAATGCCTTGTCTTACTGGTTTTCAGTCTGGTTTTTTGCCTCTTCTTGGATGACATTAAATGGTGTCAGAAGTAGGACACAAAGCTCTGCATTCTGGCATTGCCACAGATTTGTGCACTGTACTTGCAAGAACCTCTTGTGTCCTATCACCTCCCTGAAGGCCCTGGACCCTGGTAGAGAATCCTCTTATTTCCCTGAACACCCCACCTCAGCTGAGGTTCAGACATTTACTGTGTCTGTCCTTTGCTGCTGGCTGTTGACAGAGGAATTTTCCCATTTTTAGTAAGTACTGATGGGGACCTCTGCTTCTGAGAGTATAGGTGCTGAGTCACCCTCTTCTAGAATTTATGATTTTCTGTACAAAAATTATGATCTTTTATCTTATAAATTTCTTTATTGAGCCAACATCACTGAGAGTGATTTGGAATTAGAATGGCCAATCTGGGAATCTCTGATCTCCCAAAACTTGTTTTCCACCACAGACAATTAGAAGGGCTAACAGGAAAGATTAAACAGCCTGAGTGGGACATCCACTTTACTTTGGTATCTTGAGGCATCTAAAAGAGTCCAGGGAATCTAAGAGATTCCAGAGATAACAATGCCGGATTAACTCAAAGACTCTCTAAACTAGAAAAAAAAACAAAAAACAAAAAAACAGAAACATCTCCTACTCTGATCCCTCCCGTCCATTGTCATGCTGTATACTCTCTTGCTTACATGTTAAAAACTTATTCTAAACCTGGAAAATTACCTCCTGGGCTTTCCATGAAGAGGCGGCTTATTGGATTGAGTTGCTACTGGAATAACCATACCATTGGAAATTCTAATCATCAGTAGTCGAACCGTGGATCTTTAAATTAGAAAAGCTCCCATAAAATATTTTAGATATCTCTCATTCTAAACAGTTGCTTTATTTGTACTCATGGGAGGATCAAATTTTTTAAGGAAGACACGTAATAGGCTGGGTGTGGTGGGTCACACCTGTAATCCCAGCATTTTAGGAGGCTGAGGTAGGAGGATCACTTGAGCCCAAGTGTTCAAGACCAGCCTGGGCAACATACTTATCTTAAAAAATTAAAAAATAGAAAAAAATAAAATTAGCCAGGCATGGTGGCATGGTACCTGTAATCCCAGCTACTAGAGAAACTGAGGAAGGAGGATTGCTTGAGCCCAGGAGTCTGAGGCTGCAGTGAGCTGTAACAGCAGTACTGCATGCCAGCCTGGTTGACAGAGCAAGACCCTGCCTCTAAAAACAAAAATTAGGCCAGGTGCGGTGGCTCACGCTGTAATCCCAGCACTTTGGGAAGCCAAGGTGGGTGAATCACCTGAGGTCAGGGGTTAGAGACCAGTCTGGCCAACATGGTGAAACCCCGTCTCTACTAAAAATACAAAATTAGCCAGGCATGGTGGTGGGCACCTGTAATCCCAGCTACTTGGAAGGCTGAGGCAGGAGAATCAGTTTCAACTCGGAGGCTGATGTTGCAGTGAGCCAGGATCGTGCCACTGCACTTCAGCCTGGGCAACAGAGTAAGACTCTCTTAAAAATTTTTTTTTAAATGCCGGATGTGGTGGCTCACGCCTATAATCTCAGCACTTTGGGAGGCCATGGTGGGTGGATCATGGCTAATACAAAATTAGCCAGGCATGGTCGTGGGCACCTGTAGTCCCAGTTACTTGGGAGGCTGAGGCAGGAGAATCAGTTTCAACTGGGAGTCAGAGGTTGCAGTGAGCCAAGATCATACTGCACTCCACCCTGGGTGACAAGAGAGAAACTGCATCTCGAAAATAAAATAAAATACATTCAAAATTTTAAAAAGACACATAATAGTGTCATGGCTAGCCTTAGAAATTCTCTTGATGAAATTAAATCTGACCTAAAATCCTTTGCATCTTCAAACTGCCTGCTTTGGATTCCCTGTGGAATTTACCAAAAAAAAAAAAAAAAAAAAGAAAAGAAACTCTACTCTACGGTCTAGTGGAGATGTAAGTCCTTTAATTCAGGAGAAGGAATACTAATTTAAAAACTGGTTTAATATGTGTTTGACTCTTGACTTGGGGGGGGCCTTCTATTTTTCTCATGGTTCCCCAAGAGTCATGAGCAGGTTCAAGTCTAACATGTAGACACCACACTCCAAGAAAACCTTTTTAAAGAATGTTCCCAACATTAACCTTTTTCTTCCATTTGAGAGCCTGTCTGCAATGCCATCTTCAGAAATAAGACACAACTGTTTAATTGAACTAATTCTCAGAAATGGGAGGCTGGTTTAATAGGATGTTTTGCCCCCAGCTAAATCAATTTTTCTCTCCACATCCATCAACACAGCTGTTACTGTGTGAAACCTCTATGGGAGTTTCAGAAGGGAATGTTGAGGGGGCAGATGATCCCCCAAACACGGTGATTTGGCATGCTGAATGCTTTTGAAAACTCAAAGGCTCCAGAAATAAGCCTCAGAATCAAGGTCCTTCTAACCTTCTCTTATTCTTTCTACTCCAAGAGCAAGGAGGGGACTCTCTCTCTGTAATTTTCTTATCTGGCTAAGAAAGCTTCTTACAAAAGAAACACAATTGCATTCTATATGGTCTCTGAAATCTCATTATCTATTTCAGAAAAGAAGACCGAGGAATGACATTTATACATGTTACTAAAATATATGCCTCTTCAGATATACAGCTAATCACCATACAATACTGCAGGCCTCCTTATTAAAATGGCTCTCTTATTACTCAAAGTTCACTAATCTCTGAACCCATATTGCACACTGACTTTCAACAACTCCCTGTGTGAGATAAGACATTCTAGAAACAGGCAGTTCTAGTTCTGGGGAAAAGAGATAACAAATTTGTGACTGACCAACCAACAACTGATCAGCGACGCTTCCTCCTGTCAGATTTTGAGCAAAAGGGGGGAATGTGACATGTGACATGCAAAATGGTATCATTCTGGTCCAGGGCTCTAAAATGGAGTCAGGAGGTCATTCTAAGGACTACCTGCACAACCTGCAATGCTGCAAAACAAAAATAGAAAAACAAGGACTTGCCTTGAACCTCTGAACTGGGCCAAACTACAATGACCACAACATCCTGGAACACAGCTGGATTTTGCCAGTGCTGCAGCTCCTGAGGAGCAATAACCAATGAGCTCAATGGACTCGTGTGCTAAGCCAACCACCTCCACCAATGATATTTTCACAGCAACTTGTGTAATCACTTTAGCTTCCTTTGAAAAATCTCTGCTTCCCTTCCTCTCTTCAGAACACATATTGGCCTCTCCTGAATTGCAGTTCCTAAGACCCCAATAAATGCCTTGTCCAACTGCTTTGCAGTCTGGTTTTCACCTCTTCTTGGTTGACATTAGTAATCAGGAAAATAAAACAAAACTCATCATGAGATATCATTATAGTCTCACCCAAATGGCTACAATTTAAAAGTCCGATGCAGCCAGGGGAAGTGGGGACATGCAAGAACACGATCCTATGTGCTTTCTCAAGGGTGAGACTCTGGAGAGCCACTGGGCATCACTGAATAAAACTCAGCGACATCTTCCCTGTGTCCCAGCAGCATTAGTCACCTCATAACCCACGGCATAGGGGACACATTCAGAGGTACAGCGTTGGTTTGTAATGATTGCCACGTGGAAACAACCAGATGCTTATTGGCAGTGGAACAGAGACACCAAGGGCAGCACAGTCCACAGCAGAAAACTCCACAGCACAAGTGACACACAGAAATACAGATGGAACTGAGATGCAGAAGGCTGAGTGAAAGGCCACATGTAAACCACTGATTTACTGACAGTTCAAAAGCAAAGCTAAACTATGTTGTTTAGGCTTTGAAGTGGGAAAGCTAGAAAGAAAAGCAACAATGAAAAGGCTACATAACTCAGGGTTGCGGTTTTGGCAGCAGGAAAGGGGTTCTGAAAGGAAACGCACCCAGGGCTCTGGAATCCTATGCTTTGAGCTAGGTGATGGTTATATTGGGGTTTCCTTTAAACATTTTATTTTAAAGATGATCCTGCCATGTGGTTTAGTCTTTTTAAAAAATTTGTGCTGCTGTATGAGGTACATGAGAAAATGTATGACGTGTATATAATGTGCAGTGGTCAAGTGAGGGTATCCAGAGTGTCCATCATTTGATACAATACCTTTTTGTTAAGTATGGTCATCCTACTCTGCTACCAAACACTGAATTCCTTCCTTTTATTTTACTGTATGTTTGTCCCCTTTAACCCGTTTCTCTTCCTCTTCCCCTCACCACTGCTCACCCTTCCCAGTCTATCTATTTTTCCACTCTCTACCTACATGTGTTTTCTTTATGAAAATTGAAGTAGAGCACTGTTATGTATTTTTTCATTCATCTTTACACATCTCTCTGTATTTTTAGTTTTCAAGAAACCCAAGATTTCTTTCACCAAACTACAGGGAGCAATGTCCCTGTAAGAAAAACTTAACTTTTAAGAAGGATTAGGAGGCTATATTAAAGCACTCTCCGACACACATGCACTAGATGCAATGTTGTTTAAGTCTTTTCAATGCCTTGTTCTCCCCTGCAGGAGCCAGAAAGAGGAAGACACACTGTCAACATTAAACAAGAAAGAGAAGAAAAGTAGAATCTACTCTCGACCTGCCTCTGGGAACAACTGTCCCATGTAGGGAAGAGATAACAAGTACAAACCGTCTGAAATAATTACTTACCCCAAGAAGTGAGGATGTCTTCTCCATCTCTTCTTTGTTCACCTGAATGGTGTGGCTTTCCATCACTGTGATTCAAAACCCAAACCAGATCATACTTGCATTAATGAATCCTTTTACTAAACACCAAAATGCTTCGCTCCCTGATGAGAATGATAATGACTGCAACTGCCATTTACTCAGCACCTGCTGCATGCCAACCTCTCAACGGGATCTGTCAGGATCTCTGTGTCATACAGGCAAATGGGTGCATTGACAGAGCTGGCCTTTGAAGTGGGGGTGGGCATGGGGACCACACTGGCCAGGCTGGCCCTTCCCACGCTGTGAATGCTCCCTGGCTGAGGTGGTGCCCATCAGGACCTGCGTCAAAGGCAAAGGCAGAAGAGAGCCCTGCAGTGGTTCTTGCAGGAAGGTTCTCAAGGCATAAGGATAGCAAACCAGAAGAAGAGGCAGCCATTAGCATATAAAACATCTAAAGAAGTCTACTCCTCCTGGGCCAGATAGCACAGCAGGGATCCCCTATTACCAAAATGTCAGAGCCTCCAGTCTTTCCACACCAAGAGGGAATGCAGTCCAACCTCTCATTACAGAAAGGGAAAATAATAGGTTTGCTACCTCTCCAGTGCCCATGAGACATACTATCTACTTCTAAGTAAGTTACAGAGAAATATTCATCACAAACAATGTGAAGAATCCTCTAGAAAAATGACTGTACTTCATCTTTATGGTAACTTACCTGCCAAAATTGGTATCAGAGGAAGCTCCAAAGTACAAAATAGTTGCCATAAACCATAATCCTGTTTAATAGGAAGAAGTAACATCAATGTCAATTTAAATATTATTGTAT